CGATGCCTGTCCGGGACAGATTTTGTCAGGTTAGGGAGAAAATCGGGGGCATCGATTTTCACCATAGAGAGCAGCCTCGTAGACCACACGAGCTTTTTTCCCTGGCCTCACCGCAAGAATAGCAGCCTCATGGGTCCGAAGAAGGACTCTGTACGCCTTGCTCTGTACAGCATCTGAGTCGATAAGGTAAGTCCTGGCGATATTCGAGCAGTAGCTATTATAGCGGGACCCGACCGAGCAAACAGTAGCTATTATAGCGGGACCCGACCGAGCAAATGATGATGCTGGAAGAATCATAGTAGAGATACTCATCATTGCTCGATGCACTTGGTCGTAGGTCAAAGTTGCCTCCACTCTGAAAGATCGGAGGATAACATATATCCACATTTTCAGCTTTCAGTTGCAGGCCGATCTTTGCAGGGTCCAGTAAGGCCTTCTCCGGTCATTCGTAAGTGAGGCATGCGTCACTTTTTTCTCCTCGTCGATCGCCTTCTCGACTTTTCGGACCACAAAATTCTTCATGGTGCAGGCGGTTATATACGCAGCCTTCTTTATGTAGGCGATTTCATTTTTATCCTTCACGAAAAAAAGATCGAAAAGCCCACTCGTTATATCAGTCAGTACAAAACCTGTTTTTTTCAATTTTTCGAACTAAGTCTCGAGGAGTTTCCCTTCTGGAGGTTCTCGGGCTATGCATCCAACTGTAGGAACATTTTGGTCACTCGACTTGAATTCTGAACGGATTGCGTGGAGAATCGAATCCATCTGATTGATCCCATTTTCGTTTTTCGCCTTCACATGCATGACAACATCCAAAGACAATGATTCTTTAGCGGGTTCTTTAATGGCCTCTAGCAAAGACGCTTTCTTTTGGCTGCACAGAAAATGTATTTGCTTGTCCCTAAAAACCATGATTGTCTGGGGGAACACATAACCGAGCAGCCGTATGTTGAGGGAAGAGGATTTCAAGTAGCGTAAATCATCTAAAGGAGGCGATGTGTCCACAACAAGGTAATTTGATGAACTTCATAGCACATTTTTGTGCTGGCGCCAGTTTGTATAGAGAGCCTGCAGCCTCTTGGTGAAGGTATTCAAGTCAATGGTATACGCACTGCGATTTGAGTTGCATTTTTCAGTCATTGCACCTGTTTTGGGTTGTTTAATCGAGTCATTTGTTATATGAACAGGCAAAATAGAGAATGAAAATAGAATCAGCAACATAGTTATTACTCGTTCTGCATAATAAATGTAAGATATAAGCTCAGTTAACAAATTGCAATCAATATATTATTTTCCTCACATATCATTGTTCCATTGCCTTATGTTTCAGATCAAACAAATAGGACTTCCTTGGATATGCCAAAAACAATTTCAAGGCATCATCGACATACAAAAAAAGGTATTTAAAGGGATACATTCATGCCCAGAAACATAATATATCGAATTTTCCAAACATCTGCAGTTAACTTTTTCAAATTCAACGTTCAGTAAAAATTAGGGTTACATAAACTTAAACCAATAGCTACATAACCATGAAAGCAATAACACAAACTACCAAAATTCCCAAAAAAAAAAAAAAGAAAAAATTAACGAAATTTAAGATTCAGTGTATCAATCAAATCTTCCTTCATTACCTTAGACAAAAAAGGTTCTAATCGAAGACGTTCAGTAAAAATTAGGGTTCCATCACCAATGGCTAATTATAAAAGCAAAACAAAGAATACAAAAATGCAAAAAAAAAAAGCCAAATGAAACGAAGACGAAATTAAGATTCAGGGTATCAATAAAAATAAAATCTTCATTCATTATCTTGGACAAAAACGTTCTAATCGAAGAAGGTATCGACAAAAAACTGACAATCAATTGATTCAGAAATCATCTTCGGTGCTAAATATGGCTTTATGAAAACCACCGACCTCAGCTTCTTGGCGGCGCAAACTGAAAATTAGGGTTAGGGTTGCTCAAGAAGAAAAAAAAAGGAGAAAAGAAATAAGAAAAAAAACGGCGATGGAGATCAAGCGGCAAAATCTCCGACTAACGGCGTGGTATCTGTGAAGTGAAAAGCGAGGGAAAAAAGACGCGATAGTATAGTAGTTTGTATTTGGGTCATCGACAAACTCTTATAAACGAGAAACACTTTAATAATTTTTATTTATTTATTTATTGTTCATATTTTAATTAGTTCATATTTTAATTAAATATAATACATATATAAAAATAAAATTAAAAAAAATGCATTTTTTTGAATAAATGAAAATATTATTTTATTTTTGAATATCATATATATTATATAATTATTAATAAATTGAATTATAATATAAAAATAAAGTATATTCGACCACATATGCTTATAGGGATTAATGTAATGGTATAATTCTATAATTTAATATGTATATGAATACACGATTCACTATTTTATTATATAATATACACGAGTGTAACTATACAAAAATACATTTATCAAAATATAATATACATTTTTAAGAAATAAAATAATTTTGTTATTATTAGATAAAAAACAGACATTTTATTATTGTAAAACTGCACTACTCTCTCGAAGTTTTATCTTCTCTCGCATTCGGATTTGTTAAATCATAAAGTGCACGATGTGGCTTTTAATGGGGATCTGTGTTCCACGAGTGGCTAAGCCATATCCGTCTCCTTGGTGGAGGTGAAGGTGCTGAAATCATCCTCGATCTTCCGTTGAGACTTATTGTTGTCGGCTTCGAATATGGAGAGGTCAGCGGAGCCCCAGTCGGTATCTTAGGACATAGTTTAGGCAGTCGTGGACTAGAATGACAGCGTCCCTGCGGAGGAGGGTCTTCTCCTTTAAGTCATGATCCCGCTGGCTAACTGTCACCCCTCTTCCTAACTTTTTAGATCTACGCTTGTTTTCCCAGTTGATTCGGGTAGTTCTGTCCTTTTTTTTGTTGCCCTATGCATAGGAGCGGTGTTGGTGTGGCAATGATGGGCGTGATGTGGCCGGAGTTGGTATGAAGTCTTGTGCCCGTGGTCATGGTTGTTCAAAAATTGTAAGATCACAAACCTAATTAAATATCATTGATTTATGACTTGGTCTCTTTCTCCTTAATTTTCAACTCTTTCTACAGTTCCTTCTTTCAAAGAGCGGGGACCGCTTCAAACCTCCAACAACTTTTATTCGATGGGAATTACGTTTGCTTTGGTCGAGGACCTGTCGTTGGACGGCTAAACCTCACGTGAGGTGAAAAGCCAAAGCTTTGTGAAGAGGGACATAGCCAAGTTTGTGAGGACAGTGTTAACCTTGGAATTTCAAGCACGAGTTTGTCTAGCAGCTTATGTAGGTATCGTGCATACAAATGTTGAATTAAGTTACGATAGTTCTATTTTTCTTCTTTTTCATGTTCATTTGTTGTTTTCCTATTTTTGTTTATAGTTTTCTTTTGTGCCTTTCGTGTAAACTTGGCATTGACTCCTTTATCAATTTCAATAGTAGTGATTTGAGAAAGCAAAGAGATTTCTGGAACAACTCAAAAAGATTTGGGTGGGTTTATTTGGTTTCCCTTTAATTTATACATTGATATACATTCCAATCTTGTTTACGTATGTGTGTGGCAATATGAATATAAATTGATTTGTTTCATGTTCGGTACACATGAAACCTTGTTGATGGGTGGTTGATGTTTGGTAAAGGTGGATTGGCAGCGACGTTACGCCATGGTTTTTCTTTGACTCAATTTTCCATCCTTGTGTTCATTTATTTACTCTTTCATGTATTGTTTCAATAAGATCCCAAAGTTGGATTAACTTGGTTAATACTGTTTTTCTATATTTTACTTTTCTTGTTTCCACCATACTGAATGAGATTGTTGTTGGTTGTTTTAGTTGGAAGTGTGGCGGTTCAGAGGAGACATGAGAATGCAGTTATTGTTGGGGAGGAAATGAGAGAAGCATTGATGCGAACCAAGCATCTGTGCAGACTTGGAGTTTGTACAGAGAATAATGCTTATTTTCCCGTGAAATGGTGATGTATGAAGATCAATCGATTCTTGAGGGTCATACTTTGGAGCCGTGGAGAGTTGAAGCATGTCTTCGGATATAGTATGGAATATTTCATTTACTTCATTGTGTCTGGGTGTAAAGTTAGTTGGATTTCATATATCCCAACAAGACTTAATTTGTGGTTCTTTCTAAAATTTAATTTTTTTTGCCTGCATTTGTTAGTTATATGCTTGAGATTCTTAAAAAGATGAAGGTAGAAGAAAGGTAGCATTTTTATTGGAGTAATTGAGTTTATAAGGATGTCTACATAGAATTCTTCTTAAGCGACTTAAAAAGCTGGAACTTCTTGTCAAGCGTGTATCAATAACACATCTATTCAGAGAACATTACTATTATTAGTTTTTTTTTTTTTTTTTTTTTTTTTTTTTTTGGCATTTTTAGGTTGTCTTTGACCCAGATTACAATGTAAGTGTTGCAGAAGTGCTTATTCCTGTGAGTGACTTATGTCAGCATATCAGGTATTCAGTCCCAAAATATAATTTCTTATTACAGATTTTATAAAAATACTTGGATGAGAAATGGTGATAGTTTTCTTTATGTTTTGGTCAAGTCTTACTCACATGGATATATGTCATCTTTGTTATTTGTTGATGCATGTCTAATAGGATATTTTTACCTTCAACTTGGTGAATTGGTTTCGTTCTTAACTTTTTTGTAAGTGCAGAATTGATCCTTCTTGTGGTATGTAATTGAAGTACAAAGCTTAAAAGTTTGTTAGAGATTATTATATTGTATGTTTTGGACACTGATAATATATGCTATAATCCTATTATCAGTTATGTCAATATAATAATTTGATTTTTTTTCCATGGTTTCTATTTTTGGAAGGAAAGAATCAGAACTATTGCAGGCCATTTGTTGTCATTTTCGAATTCTAACCAAATGAAATGCTTAGTTAGTCTAAAAACTCATTCGATTTAATGATTCACTTTTTTGCAATTCAACATTCACTCTAGATCCTAAAAATTGTGTTCCTCGGTCTCCCGAGCCATCACGTCGCGCCTGAGAGTCTTTATCAGCTTAACCACCTCGTTAGAGTCCTTGGACCAGAAAGCGACCTCCTTCAGGTAAACGGCCCTCTGATGGGTGGGTCCTGGCAGATTAAATACGATACGCACGTAACAGCTCCGGTTTGTGTCTTGCTGGCTTGTGGCGGTTTTCACATTGGACACGTGGAAAGGGACCATGCAGCCATAGATGGGAATCAGGATGGACTCATTTTTCTGGTCGACCTGGATCGTCATCATATCTCGGTAAGCATAAGCGAGACCTCATTCACGCTCTTGTATGCAATCCGAGCCGCGGCCCGCCCGTTCACGTTGCCCAACTCAACTCTGGTAAGGCGCCGGGCAGTCTCTTCGTTTTTTCGGCGGGCAAGTTTTGCCTGGTGCTGCTTCCGGAGCTCCTCCTTGGACAACTCACCATTGTTGGATCTGAGGGTTGCTTTGGAGGACATGAATTCTTTTTCTTCAGCATTGCTATCAGACTTTGGTTTCTTTCTCAGCGGCTCATCTACATCGTCCTCTTCATTGAAGGAGTATGCGACGTCCTTAAACAATTTCGAGCTGGCTGTCGTGGCAACATCACGTCCGCCGTCCGTCACGAGAACCGTATCGGGGAGCAGCGTCGAGAAATTCTAGGCTTTCGGGCCTTTTTTCGTCTTTGCCTGTAGATTCTGAAAACCAATCGAAACTTTAAGGGCCATCCCCGCTTTCAGCACTTTCTCATTTTCCGCATCAAGACTCAGCCCAGACTCACGAAACTCAAGACTGATGCTTGTCCCGGTAGATTTTTTCAGGTTAGGGAGAAAATCGGGGTCATCGATTTTCACCACAGAGAGAGCAGCCTCGTAGACCACACGGGCTTTTTTCCCTGGCCTCACCGCAAGAATAGTAGCCTCATGGGCCCAAAGAAGGACTTTGTACGCCTTGCTCTGCACAACATCCGAGTCGATAAGGTATGTCCTGGCGATATTCGAGCAGTAGCTATTGTAGCGGGACTCGACCGAGCAGATGATGATGCTGGAAGAATCATAGTAGAGATACTCATCATTGCTCGATGCACTTGGCCGTAGGTCAAAGTTGCCTCAATCTGAAAGATCGGAGGATAATATATATCCACATTTTCAGCTTTCAGTTGCAGGCCGATCTTTGCAGGGTCTTCTCCGTTTCGTAAGTGAGGCATGCGTCACTTTTTTCTCCTCGTCGATCGCCTTCTCGACTTTCGGGACCACAAAATTCTTCACGGTGCAGGCGATTATATACGCAACCTTCTTTATGTAGGCGATTTCATTTTTATCCTTCACGGAAAAAAGATCGAAAAGCCCACTCGTTATATCAGTCAGTAGAAAACCTATTTTTTTTCAATTTTTCGAACCAAGTCTCGAGGAGTTTCCCTTCTTGAGGTTCTCGGGCTATGCATCCAACTGTAGGAACATTTTGGTCACTCGACTTGAATTCTGAACGGACTGCGTGGAGAATCGAATCTGTAACGCCCTGTTTGAATTAGAATTATTTGAGATTATTTATTAGTTTATTATTGCCATTATTATTGCTTATTTATATTATTATTATTATTATTATTATTATTATTATTATTATTATTATTATTATTATTATTATTATTATTATTAGTAGTAGTAGTAGTAGTAGTAGTAGTAAATATTTATTTGTGATTAAATATCTAATTGTTTTAAATGCCTATTATTATTATTATTATAAATATTATTGTGTGTATTATATAAATATATATGTATTTCTGTTAATTTATTTTTATCGAACCCTTGAATCGAATTGATCGAGAGTTCTTGTTATTTCATTTATCCTCGGCCCAATTGAAATTTACTTCTAGCCTCATTTGTGGTTTAACAAATTTATGGCCCAACTCCTATATAAAATTTTGACCCTCGAGAGATTAATTTAGCTTGACCCAAATGGTTTTATTAAAGTCCGACACCTCATATCTCTCACATTTTTTTTTGGGAACCGGTCCCTCTCGCTTATCTTCACGTTTGAATTGTTCGCTGCGATTCTTCCGTGAGATTTTTTCTCCAACCGACCGCACGTTCTCCTCCCTTCTCTCTCTCTCTCTCTCTCTCTCTCTCTCGCATATATCACCTGAGCAAAAGGATTTTCTTCAGTAAAAATTCTCTTCACCTTATCAGATAAGAAGCTCTCGGCGACATTAAGAAAAAAAAAATCTCTCCACCATTGTTTCTGGTGAAAGCTCCATTCATCGACGTCTTTCCTTGCCGTCGTCCTGTTCTCGCGCTCAATCGCGGTTTGAGGCCACATCCCGTCCGACCTCGAGAAGCGAACCTGGTAGACCACCCCACAACTCCGTTCGCGTCACCGGCTTTCACCATTATTTCCAGCGAGGCCTTCCAGCAGCGGCAACGTCCGAGCAGAACCTTCTTCCGACAATCAACAATCGAGCCTCACACGCCATCATTGGTCCCGTCCAGCAGCCCTCAGACCTGCGTTGGAAGGTTCAAACTCAAAGCTGTTTTTCCGACCCGCTGTCGGGCCCGTTTCCCTTCCGATAACTCATAGTTTTCCGAAGTCGGGTAGCTTATTCGAGTCCTCTCGTTATTGCAGTCGTTTTCATATATCGCATGATAGTTTTATACATCATATGTACTACCGAATTCGCGTTTGAAATCGGATTTTTGGTTTGGTTTGTTATTGTTTATTGATTGTTCGTATATTCATGGATTTTCGGGGATGATTGGAACTCTCAACTTCATAAACGTGAATACCGTTGTGTTGCTCTGTTAAATGTGTATAAGTTCGGAGTCTCGATATTATTTTTCGAGTTGTCGTTTTACAGTTCGTATGGTTTCAAGTCGGTATGTTTGTTTTGTTTTTTTTTTTTTTTTTTTGGCCCAAAAACCCGGTATTAAGATTTCGAAACTCTCAGACAAATTGTATTTTTCAAAAATTTAGTTGTCTCTCAAAACCTGGTAGCCGTTAGATACGTCATGGTCGAGTTCGGTAGACTTTCGGTGCAGCCCCTGTTCGTTCTTCAGCTTCTAATGGATTTTTATTTTTCTCAGTTTACTGTTCTTATTAGCAGGTATCGAATTTTTAGCGTGTAAAGTTCAGTCGTTTGTTTTGATTTAATTAAAAACAAGTCCTTTAGAAGTTCGAATCCGGCGCGTAGTGCAGTGGTGAGTTACACTTTTTCCCTTGTGCGATGTCGCGGTTTCGAGCCTAGCCTTGTGCAGTTAGTGTATTTTTTTTAATTATCAGCTGCTTCAGGAGCGCGGGTCGGATGGCCCGTCTCAGCGCTCGTCCGGTCCGATTTCTCTGCACAGATGAAGCCCGCATTCGGCCCTCCATAAGCCCGTGTGTAAGCCCAAAAGGCCTGAGCCCATTTCTCCCTAACAGGCCGTGTCTTGGGCTCATTTTCTGCCTCATGTGCGGCCCAATTAGCTTAAACTTTGGCAGCTTCAACCCATTTAGATTTGAACCTTTTTTTTTTTTTTTTTTTTGTGTTCTGTAGTCTGTTTTTCATACCGTTTTCAATTTACAAAATTATTTTCAAATGAGAAAAAATTTGAGAAAAAATTATTTTATGTCCCGAGACTCCAAATTTAATCCTCCGAGTCTCATTTTTAAAAAATGAGAGAGTTTCAATTCCACGAAAAATCCTATTAAAACCCTTAAATCTCAATTTTTATTAAGAGTGGGTTTTATATTAAATTTGATGAAGTTAGATAGATTATTGATAAAATATCTCGCTTAAATGTAGGTATTTGAGGAGTCGAGCCCTCGACCTACGTAATTGCTTTTGTGTGATATTCTACCGCAATTTCCAAGTGGGTTTACTTATAAAATTTGCTATGCCGTATGTATTTACTTTAATGTTGGGTTGGTATGATTTAAGTATGCATGTAAACCATGTAGCCTATTGGCGTGAGCCGATTCGGCCGTTGGTACGGTTGTCCCCGTCGATGTAATACGGTTACCCTTGCGAGGTAAGTCTCCGTAAGATCTAATGAAAGGCCGTGTCTTGTTGTATGACACGTACCCTCATGAGTTAGGGATGAATCCCCTTTCCGTGGCTAATGAAAGATGTGTACACGTGGGTAATATGTTGTGATGTGATTTGGAGACGTGACAAAATAATTGATTTATGTTCATGCTGCAACCATACCTCCTTTACATTATTTATTACTTGTGATATACGTGCATAGTGGTGAGCACGCATTTTCATCTTGTGCTCATCCCCACCTGCTCTTCACGGATGCAGGTTAAGCAGGTGCAGGGTGACGAGGAGAGGCGAATGGCTCGGTCATTTAATTTGCATATTATGCTTCCGTAGAATAAATAAGGCTTTATTGGACCTTTATGTTAAGACTTGCTTAAACCTTTTTCCAAAACGTATGATTGTTTTGTTTTTGGGAAAACTTGTGAAACCCTGATCATTGTCTTTGGATGTTGTCATGCATGTGAAGGCAAAAACGAAAATGGGATCAATCAGATGGATTCGATTCTCCACGCAATTCGTTCAGAATTCAAGTCGAGTGACCAAAATGTTCCTACAGTTGGATGCATAGCCCGAGAACCTCCAGAAGGGAAACTCCTCGAGACTTAGTTCGAAAATTGAAAAAATCAGGTTTTGTACTGACTGATATAACGAGTGGGCTTTTTGATCTTTTTTCCGTGAAGGATAAAAATGAAAACGCCTACATAAAGAAGGCTGCGTATATAACCGCCTGCACAGTGAAGAATTTTGTGGTCCCGAAAGTCGAGAAGGCGATCGACGAGAAGAAAAAAGTGACGCATGCCTCGCTTACGAATGACACGGAGAAGGCCTTACTGGACCCTGCAAAGATCGGCCTGCAACTGAAAGCTAAAAATGTGGATATATGTTATCCTCCGATCTTTCAGAGTGGAACTTTGACCTTCGACCAAGTGCATGGAGCAATGATGAGTATCTATACTATGATTCTTCCAGCGTCATCATCTGCTCGGTCGGGTCCCGCTACAATAGCTACTGCTCGAATATCGCTAGGACTTACCTTATCGACTCGGATGTTGTGCAGAGCAAGGCATACAGAGTCCTTCTTCGGGCCCATGAGGCTGCTATTCTTGCGGTGAGGCCGGGGAAAAAAGCCCGTGTGGTCTACGAGGCTGCTCTCTCTGTGGTGAAAATCGATGCCCCCGATTTTCTCCCTAACCTGACAAAATCTGCCGGGACAGGCATCGGTCTTGAGTTTCGTGAGTCTGGGCTGAGTCTTGATGCGGAAAATGAGAAAGTGCTGAAAGCGGGGATGGCCCTTAATGTTTCGATTGGTTTTCAGAATCTACAGGCAAAGACGAAAAAAGGCCCGAAAGCCCAAAATTTCTCGACGCTGCTCACCGATATGGTTCTCATGACGGACGGCGGACGTGATGTTGCCACGTCAGCCAGCTCGAAATTGTTTAAGGACGTCGCGTACTCCTTCAATGAAGAGGACGATGTAGATGAGCCGCTGAGAAAGAAACCAAAGTCTGATAGCAATGCTGAAGAAAAAGAATTCTTGTCCACCAAAGCAACCCTCATATCCGACAATGGTGAGCTATCCAAGGAGGAGCTCCGGAAGTAGCACCAGGCAAAACTTGCCCTCCGGAAAAACGAGGAGACTGCCCGACGCCTTACCGGAGTTGAGTCGGGCAACGTGAACGGGCGGGCCGCGGCTCGGATTGCATACAAGAGCATGAATGAGATATGATGACGATCCAGGTCGACCAGAAAAACGAGTCCATCCTGATTTCCATCTACGGCTGCATGGTCCATTTCCACGTGTCCACTGTGAAAACTGCCACAAGCCAGCAAGACACGAACCGGAGCTGTTACGTGCGTATCGTACTTAATCTGCCCGGACCCACCCATCAGAGTGTCGTTGGACAGCTAAACCTCACGTGAGGTGAAAAGCTAGAGCTTTGTGAAGAGGGACATAGCCAAGTTTGTGAGGACAATGTTAACCGTGGAATTTCAAGCACGAGTTTATCCAGCAGCTTATGTAGGTATCGTGCATACGAATGTTGAATTAAGTTATGATAGTTCTATTTTTCTTCTTTTTCATGTTCATTTGTTGTTTTCCTATTTTTGTTTATAATTTTCTTTTGTGCCATTCGTGTAAACTTGGCATTGACTCCTTTATCAATTTCAATAGTAGGTATTTGAGAAAGCAAAGAGATTTCTAGAACAACTCAAAAAGATTTGGGTGGGTTTATTTGGACAGGAAAGAGACCTCCTTCAGGTAAACGACACTCTGATGGGTTGGTCCGGGCAGATTAAATACGATACGCACGTAATAGCTCCGGTTCGTGTCTTGTTGGCTTGTGGCGGTTTTCACAGTGGACACGTGGAAAGGGACCATGCAGCCATAGATGGGAATCAGGATGGACTCGTTTTTCTGGTCGACCTGGATCGTCATCATATCTCGGATAAGCATAAGTGAGACCTCATTCACGCTCTTGTATGCAATCCGAGCCGCAACCCGCCCGTTCACATTACCCGACTCAACTCCGGTAAGGCGCCGGGCAGTCTCCTCGTTTTTCCGGCGGGCAAGTTTTGCCTGGTGCTGCTTCTGGAGCTCCTCCTTGGACAGCTCACCATTGTCGGATCTGAGGGTTGCTTTGGAGGACACGAATTCTTTTTCTTCAGCATTGCTATTAGACTTTGGTTTCTTTTTCAGCAGCTCATCTACATCTTCCTCTTCACTGAAGGGGTACGCGACGTCCTTAAACAATTTCGAGCTGGCTGTCGTGGCAACATCACGCCCGCCGTCCGTCACGAGAACCGTATCGGCGAGCAACATCGAGAAACTCTGGGCTTTCGGGCCTTTTTTTGTCTTTTCCTGTAGCTTCTGAAAACCAATCGAAACATTAAGGGCCATCCCCACTTTCAGCACTTTCTCGTTTTCTGCATCAAGACTCAGCCCATACTCACGAAACTCACGATCGATGCCTGTCCCGGCAGATTTTGTCAGGTTAGGTAGAAAATCGGGGGCATCGGTTTTCACTCCAGAGAGAGCAGCCTCGTAGACCACACGGGCTTTTTTCCCTGGCCTCACCGCAAGAATAGTAGCCTCATGGGCCCAAAGAAGGACTTTGTACGCCTTGCTCTGCACAACATCCGAGTCGATAAGGTATGTCCTGGCGATATTCCAGTAGTAGCTATTGTAGCGGGACCCGACCGAGAAGATGATGATGCTGGAAGAATCATAGTAGAGATTGTCTTCGGATGTTGTCATGCATTTGAAGGCGAAAAACGAAAATGGGATCAATCAGATGGATTCGATTCTCCTTGCAATCCATTCAGAATTCAAGTCGAGTGACCAAAATGCTCTTACAATTGGATGCATAGCCCGAGAACCTCCAGAAGAGAAACTCCTCGAGACTTGGTTGGAAAAATTGAAAAAAATAGGTTTTGTACTGACTGATATAACGAGTGGGCTTTTCGATCTTTTTTTCGTGAAGGATAAAAATGAAATCGCCTACATAAAGAAGGCTGCGTATATAACCGCCTGCACCGTGAAGAATTTTGTGGCCCCGAAAGTTGAGAAGGCGATCGACGAGGAGAAAAAAGTGACGCATGCCTCACTTACAAATGACACGGACAAGGCCTTACTGGACCCTGCAAAGATCGGCCTGCAACTGAAAGCTGAAAATGTGGATATATGTTATCCTCCGATCTTTCAGAGTGGAGGGAACTTTGACCTACGGCCAAGTGCATCGAGCAATGATGAGAAGCTGTATGTCTTCATTTATCCTCTAGCAAAGACACTTTCTTTTGGCTACACAGAAAATGGACTTGCTTGTCCCCAATATCCATGATTGTCTCAGGGAACACATAACCGAGCAGCCATATGTTAAGGGAAGAGGATTTCAAGTAGCGTAAATGTAACACCCCGCCTAGACTTACTAAAATCAGAATAAATATTTCGCGCTATAAATGGAAAGCACTTATTTAATTTTCGAAAACTCATATAAATTTTTCGAAAATACTTTAACTTTAATCTGCGGGATGCTACTCAACTTAAATCTTATATCTTTAATCTTTAATATCTATAAACTACTAGGCATGCAACCGAGTATAATTCATTACTCTAAGGCGCCATGAACATCTCCGGATTTAAGCATGCATAGAATGAAATTCTGAAATACTGAGATACTAGTCTGGAATCCTGAAATACTAGTCTAGAATCCTGAAATGTTTAATTCTAATCTGAAATTCTGAAATATTGAAATAGTAACTTGAAATTCTGAACTGCTGAAATGCTAATCTGAATATTAGTATGAAATTCTAAAATACTGACTAGTCTGAGATTTCAAAATACTGAAATAATAATCTAAAGTTCTGAAATACAGTTCTAGAGTGCGGAAGCAAATATAGGTTCAAATATCAAGGGCATGCAAGCAATAAAGGAAACATAACTAAGGCATAAATAAATCAAACAATACAAAACATAACATAACCCAAATATCCTGACTGATGACCACCACCACTTCCGGCTCACGCTCCACGCGAGACTCCATCACCTGAAAAAGAAAGTAGTGGGGAGGCGTGAGCACAAAAGAATCAACGGTGCTCCGCCAGAACCAGCACTGAATACTCAGCACATTTAATAATCCATCATGAAATTAGCTTATATATAAATAAACTGGAATAACTATGGGACTAACGGTAAACCGATACTCATGTGCACACTCTGGGGGTCCTCTCCCACAGAAATCCAGGAAAGGCACTAATCACCCCATCTGGACGCTAAACTTAGGACGGGCCCTAATCACACACATCCAAGTCACAACTAAAATACTGAAATATTGACCAAGACGGGATCACTCATCCGTCTCGGTCCTTCAATTTAATCACATATAGACCTCAGACATGGTAAATTATTAAAAGCGATGAAATACACAGTACATGGTCCCCACCTGGAAAACGGCGAATGCAAATGCTGAAAATGCTGACATGGGTGGCAGACGGAGGCTCGACTCTCCTCAAGCTACAAAATATATTGAGCGAAATATTCTAAGTACTGGCTCAGAATAAAACTCAAATCTTTAATATCTTATTATTTAGGTTCGCTCACTCTGCTTTAAAAATCATTTTAGGGATTTACGAGCTGATTTTGAAAATATTCTTTTCTTTGAAGCATTCTAGAGTTCTCTGAAATATTTCTAAGTCTGGACTAGGTTCTGACTAAAACTAAATCTGATTGGGCTATAATCTAACTAGACTTACGCCTGTCTGGAATTAAATCTATCTGAAATTCTATCTCTGAAATTCTATCTGAAGTATATCTAAATTTCTATCTCTGAAATTCTATCTGAAATATATATCTGAAATTCTATTTCTGAAATTCTATCTGAAATATATATCTGAAATTCTATCTGAAATATATGTCTGAAATTCTATTTTTGAAATATATCTAGAACAGTCCGGACTAACCGATCGGTTCAACTGACCTGGACCGACGGCTCACTCGGAGCTGGTCGATCACTTGCTTGACTATGTGCAGCTCGGTTTGACCATGGTCTGAGTTCGACGTGGCAACTTGGGCCGACACGAACTCGACAGACACAACTTAGCCGATGCACGAGTTTGAAATGGTGCCACGGTCACTGACGCAAGGGCGTGCTTGGACCACGGCTAACGGAACAATGCGTAGACGGCAAGTCAGATGGACTCGGTGCACGGACACACACTCGGGGGTTGACTCAGACTCGGTGCACGGGCCCGCACTTGGCGGTTCGGCTCCAACTGTCGGACGAGAGACGGTCACGTGCGCGAGACGACGATACGTATTACGAATTGACGATACGACGGCCAATAATTATTCAGGCAGTACTAGGGTTCAATCATTTAAAATCGGATCTAGAAATATACCCGGTTATCAGAACCAAATAAAACTAGGGTTCGATTCTCGAAGAATCCTACTCATTTAAGGCCGATAATCAATGAATATTTTATATGCGATTTATATTGATTTTAAAAATCAACAACTGCAACTAAAAAATCATATCCGGCTAAGTTTTCTAAAATATCGACTTAACGACTAAAGTCCCGATTTTATAACTAAGTCAAATGGTATCCTAAATTTATGAAATTCGAATCGTCGCATCCTCAATATATTAATAGTCAACGGTCTACATAACAAGTGAAACGACAACTCCTAATCTAGTCAACTCTAATTTACTACGACCGGTCAACGCATTTGACCGGGTCGTTTACCTATCAAACCAAGTCCAAAAATTATAAAATTTGAACCTACGCCTCAAGACGATTTATTATGATTTACCAAATTTAAAATATCATTTTATCGCTTGTATATTAAGAGATCGAAAAATCGATTGTTCCAAGCTCGTAAAATTCCCAATAATTCAAGTTTCACTCAAAATATCAATTTCACATTTTATAATTCACTAATAAACACATCTAAGCTCATGGAGAAGATTCGAGTCATTCTACCTTAACCGACTCGAATTGAAGGTTGAAAAGTAGAGAGTTAGATGGCTCGAAGGAGCAAAACGGGGTAGATGTTGCTCAACGGGTTGAACCGGAGGGAAAGTGGAATGGGTCAACTCAACTCTGTTTGAGTTGACTGGGCCGAGCTGGGTGCGAGTCGGACGAGCTGACCGAGTTGACTCGGCGAGTGGTAGATCGCAGCTAGTCAGGGCGAGTCGGGCGCGTTGAGCGCGTGGAGGGCTGTGCTGGTCGGGTTCGCGCGTGGAGGCTTGTACTTGGAGCTGTCGGTACTGGGTCGCTGTGAGGAGTTATTTTCGGCGCGAACTCGCTGCGAACGGGCACCTCGGTTGCTGGACCAGAACGGGGCTTGCGTACGGTCGAGAAGGTGAGCTCGTGATGGTCGGGGTCCCCATTCGCCGGCATGGACATGCTGACGACGAGCAGTCAACGACGGGAAAGCTTGGCTCTGCAACATGAAGGCTTGGCAGCGGCGGGTCGAGGCTGGGCTGAGCTCGGCGGCGCGGAGGAGGCGAGGACCGAGGCTGGGGCGCGACTGAAAGCTCAAGTGGTGCGAACCGGCATGGAGGAGCTGAGCCGTGAAGGAGCTTGCTGCTGGTGGTCACGGCGTGAAGGTCGCCGGAGCTGGTGGTCGCCGGCGCGACAGGTGCTGCGTGAGGGTGAGAGCTGCGGGCTCGTGGACTGAGCTTGGTTGAGGGTTTTCGGGCTCGTGGTGGCAGCTGCGAGTTCTTCTCGCCGGCGATGGTAACGGTGGCGTGGAGGCGGGTCGTCGGCGGCCGGGAGATGGCCGGAAAAGTGGTCGGGTTTATGATGGAGGTGGTGATTGAAGATGGATCTTGAGTGGCTAGGGTTTTAATGTGTGGTGGGAGGTGGAGGTAACATTCTATTTATAGTGAAAGTGAAAGACTAGGGTTTCCACTTGTTATTGGGCCTCAACATGGGCTTAATAATCAGGCTATAAAATCTTAAAACCGGGCTAGTAAATTTAATTCGACTTGGGCTCGATTTTCACATTGAGTATCGACTAAAGAATTAAATACTCGGTTAATAAAATAAATCGGGCTTGGACTAATTAAACTAGTTGGTAAAGCTTAGAATAATTGGGCTCGAATTTAAAAATCGAATATAGGCTAAAATTTTAAAATAGATTAACATTAAAATTGAACCTGGCTCGATTAATTAAAATGGACCGAAATAATATCGAACATAGGCGCGATTAACTTAAATGGCCGGGCTAGAATAATTTGGGATCGCTTGAAATTGAATAGGCTCGAATAAGTTAAATATTCGGCTTCGATTAGCTTTACCAGAAGTTCGATTAGTCCAAGGCTCGATTTTAAAAAATATAACCGATACTTGGGCTAAATAAATCCGACTTTAGTAATTAAATTCGAATAAATTCTCCATGGCTTAGACTTTAATACTAATTATTCATTTTAATGCAAATAAATATAATAAATGCATCAAATTAGGGAACTGGCTATTTATGGAAATAAAATCGAGCTCCATAAATAGTAATTAAAAATCTGGACATTACAGTAAATCTTCTGAAGGAGGCGATGTGGCCACAACAAGTTAATTTGACGAACCCCATAGCACGTTTTTGTGTTGGCGCCAATTTGCATAGAGAGCCTACAGCCTCTTGGTGAAGGTATTCAAGTCAATGGTATACGCACTGCGATTTGAGTTGCATTTTTCAGCCATTGCACCTGTTTTGGGTTGTTTAATAGAGTCATTAGTTATATGAACAGGCGAAATAGAGAA